TATTTGTCGGTATCGCCAATATACTTGTAGAAGTACTATATCATATAGCTGTCATACAAACTGAACGATCAGTATCGAACCCTATAATTTTTTACTTGACCAGATATCATCACGAATTTTGGCATGAACTATTTTCGAAGATAACGCTACAATATGTGAAGAAATTTTCTTGATCGGACCACTGCCGTCCATCTTCAGGCTGATTTGTTTTGAAACATTTAATTTGTGGGTTTGACGATGCTAATTCTTTCATCTCCTATACTTATCTTGTCTAGTTACATGTGCTTATACAACGGTTATACTCTGTGGTCAGTACTGCAAGTGTATAAGAATTTAATTAATAAACGTAAACTCAAGAAAAAATTAATTCAAACTCCTTTATTGCTAAGGAATTAAGCCGTATGTCCGCCTTTATAAACTTTATTTTATTTTTATACCTCACATCTTATTTTCTATGTTATCAAATGCATTTCACTTGGCGATAAAGAAACGCATAAGCAAACAAAACAAATTAAGAATATACTATTTCTACGTGACGGTTATAACTCATTCGCAATGGTATCACGTGTATAGTTGCATGGGGCGGGAGTTATTGCTTTTTCAGCAAACAACATAACTTTAATAAGTCGGTTATAAATTTCGTGCATGTATAGGTGGCTTAATATATAATATTAACATCTATATTAACGTACAAATATACATATTAACATATTGACATTGACATTAAACAGCAATATGATGTCGCTTTGAAGGCTGTTCCAATGTTAAGTGCTATAAAGTTTTGCCAACCAATTATTGTATTTTTTTCGACAATAATTTTGCTAAAGCTTGTTGTTCTATGTGTATGTGTGTGTGCGATAGAAGTCACGTGCCACAGCTTTTCTTCACTTCATATAGCCGTTGCTTGCTTTGTTCTTTTTTTCGTCTCGTCACTTGGTGATTTTCGTCTAGCTGGCTCTATATGTTCGTCAGAATACTTAATTAAATCACTTTGATGCATGGCAAACATATGTCATAACAATTTTAACTTTTGTTTCATTCTCCCGGGCGCAGATGGTCGTATGATGTGTGAGTTAATGAATTCAATTAACTGTTATTTACAGTTTATATATTATTTAGCTAATTTAGTTTCTCTATTTTGATATACGAATATGTTCGCCAAAATATCTTACGAGCTTTTGTTTTATTTCGTCTAGTCAAAAGTTTCCTAGATAATTTTAAAGATACTTTTTTAAAAAGTATTCAACGTGACTCTCAATTTTTTATAAAATATTTATATTAATTAATTAGAAATTTAAAATTATTACTGTTGGAATTGAGCAGGAATAAGTTTTTTTTTCTGCTGTTGGTTTTTGTTTTTTATTTGATATCAACAAAATGTTAAGCTGAGTATATTTATCCATATAGAGTTTTCTGCTGAGTTTAGGATCTGATCATAATTTTAAAGAGATGAAAGAATAAATTAGTAATAAAAATAATAAGCTAACTAGCCCAATTAAGATGTCCCATATTTGATTTATGAGGGATAAAGTCAACCAGACGAATAATAGCTATGGTAGAATATGGGAAGAATTTTCTTAAGCTTTGAGCGAATGTTGCCACATACATACATATCAATAATGTTGGCAAGCATGATACCAATTTGTGTTTTATTATACATCAATGCCTAGGAAATTTTGTTTAACGAGTATTCATATAAAAGGTATAATATTTCATCTAAATTCTGCAACTTTTTTTTGCAGGTCTGGGGGTGGAAAATGCCTTCCGCATCACCAATGCGTCGTCACAGTAACGGTGTATGGTACTTGCAGATTACTAAAAACACGTCGCTCACCCTGGAACCACATTTTTTATTAGATCAGGGTGGCAGTCCATTTTTCATGCGCACCTACGTCCTAGTCCACTTTTTGCTGTGTACAAAAATTTCTGTGTATTTCTGAACCAAAGTTCAAGTTTATTGGGCCAATCAGGTCCTCTACAGGGGTGCGTTACTGTTATCATCGTATACTTCGTTGTGTGTGCATGACAGCTCTTCAATTGTTTTCCTTTTTTAACACATTTTCCCAAATCTCTGCTCCATATAAGAAAACACTGATGGTTACCGATATTAGAAGCTTAATCTTTTCTTGGATAGGCCCTCTTATGTTGGCCATAATCTGCTAAGCCCTGAGGTTATTATTGCTGATTTTATCTGGGGTCCAGTTTTACGCTTAGGCAGTTTACTTAGTTTTGTATCCTTTGTATGTCCTCAGTCGTTTACTCACTTTGAGAGGTATATGCCAATTTTTTAGAAGTGTGAATCAAGCCATGTCTGCGTCCGAATAATACCTGATGCTTATCGGCAAGCTTTTTCTCTGTATCGGGCTGTAGTTACTTTTCGATGTCGTTCGCGTAAAATCAAATACGATTCGTCTGTCATTTCAATATATCTGTCAATATCGTCATAACTAATGTTTAACAGCCCTGAAATTAAAATGGGCCCTTGTGCTGCTCCTGACGTAACCGCTATTTATCGTGATCCCTATCTAGTCTAGTACAACAGTTTTCTGTTTCTAAAATAGCTTCGCACTACAGCATTGTCGCCAGCAAAACTATTCGTTTGTATTTATGGCATAACATAAATGGCAAAATATGTCTTTCTTACGAATTAATTAAAAAATATTCACAATCTACTTGGCCGACGTGAACTTTTAATGAACTTGAAATAAACTTAACTTTTTCGTATTAATTTATTAGTTAAAACTGAAAGACGAAATTGTACCGCTTTTCAATCACCTGCAAAATATAACAGTCGTAATAAAATTAGTTGAAAATCTGACGATCTGGAAATGGGTTAAATTGGATAATAACCACGCCTAACTCTCATGCATCGGTTAAGCTCACAACTACTAAAATTGCGGTAACTGCGGGTTGCTAATTTTTTAATCCAAAAATTTTAGACTTAAATTAGACTCTCAATTTTTAATTCCAGCATCTTAGATTAAAAATTAAAATTTTCTTTTTAGATGTTTGGACTTAGAAATTGAAAGTTGTATATTTTAATTTGGATGTGTACCATATATTTGCCAACCAATGCTCCAGATTATTGAAGATAATGGCTCTGTGTCAGCTCTAGTTTAAAATAGTGGAACGAGAAAGAATATGTATGCTACAACAATTTTTGTTTTATTTCTTAATTATATGCTTTGGATACAATTTTTTTAATTAGGTAGTTGGGATGGTTTGCAAGATTAGAATTATTTTTAATATTTAAATTCCGTATTAGGGGTTACAAAATAAAAAAAGTTAATTCAATTATATTTTTAATGTTTTATTTACAACCTTGTTACTGATATAAATATACAGGCACATTGAAAAATAATGTTTATAAGTTCATATTGGATTGATAAAAATAAGTAACAATACAATCGACGCACAAGAAATTCCTGTGAATTAAGTCAATGCTCATACACATACTTACTGCTATCAACAGTATTCGTATATGTACATATATCTATGTATGTGCTAGGGCTCGTTAAAGGCTATTGAGTTGAAACAAAATGTGGGAGAATGTTGTAAGTAAGCGGAGTAAAAGGAAAAGTGTCATCATGTGATTGCCAAATGCCGGAAGCAGCAAAACAATGGCAGCGACAACTGAAACAGCGACAGCGCTAACGACGACGCTGCTAACGGTAGCCGAAAAGGGAAACGAAAAAAGCGACAAACTTCATACAAATAAATATATATATATCTCGTATATATATATATACGTACGAGTATACAACTTTGTCTGACAACCGAAGAAAAGGCGAAAGCAAAACAAGTAAAGTAAGACAAAATATTTAATGAGCAAAGCTGGCAAGTAGTTTGAAGACAAATCAAAGAGTCTAACATAAATAAAGAAAATGTAAAGAGAATGAGAATAAACGCACCAAATTTGTATTAAATGTGTTGGAATAAATGTTGACTTTAGAAAGAGAGCAGGCCATATGAACATAAGAGCAATGGAAGTTACGATAAGAGTATTTCCGGTTGGCATTTGCTGAATCACGGCGAATTTGAGGTGATGGAAAGCGAATAGCGAGGTGTTTGCAATTTTTAGCAGACAAAAAGAGGCACGGGATAAATAAATTTGCTTAAAATCTAATATACAGAAATAAAGGAACGGACAAATAATAAAAAAGAATATATTTTTTATATTTCTTGCCGCTTTACTAACAAGAAATTTTTGTTCTATTTTATTTACTAACAAATTTTCTGCAAAAGGTTATACTTTTAAAGCGTTTTAAAGAAAATATTCTCATAAAAAACAGCATACAGCTTAAAGCTCCTCAAAACAGCTGTGCGTTGGCAACACTAACACACCCACAAGCATATAGCATTATTTATTAATAGAAAATCTGCGAAAATGGGAATGTATTTAGGTAGATGTGTATGTATGGGGTAGTTATTTCAATGTACGACTGAACGGTCTGTTTATACTTCGCACAATAAGCGTAACGAACACGCACACACTCTCATACTGCAGCATAAGCGCATACATTAATACAAGTATAAGCAGACGCTTAAGCAGCGCACGACCTACCAAAAAGTAGGATAAAAGCTTTACCGAAGAAAGCCATACAATCGCTAAATATGGTTTAACGAATTTGAGAGTAATCGAGAGCAGCTAGATGAGAGCACACAACTGAGAGTATACTACTGAACACCTTCAGCAACTAAATTTCATTAACAACTCTGCTGTTGAGTCCACTAATTGACTTCCTTGCTACTGTTGGCGGCTGAAGCGATTTGGCAAGCAAAGGCCACTCCATTTCAAGTTGAGCCACTGAAATATGGTGTCGTGAGCGATTTTTACTCGCTTGCGCTCTCACGCTCAACAACGAGTTGCTTTCGGTCGTGTGTCATTGCAAGTGTATTAGAGAGCAGCACGAACACGATTGCTCAAGCCTTGCTGGCATAGCGCCGAACACGCACGAAGTTCGTTTGACAGCCGCCTCCTAAATGTATGCCACACGTACGCATACACTCCCGCATTGACGTTTGGCTTCCATTTGTGCTATGTGTCGCGCTGCACGGGCGTACACCAGGACTAGTCTACGGTGAATACTCGATGATAGCTGACCAGTGGCAACGGCTGTCAACGCACGACGTTAGGTTGACGCTAAAAAAGCGCATCACCAAACCGGTATTGATATTTTCAACAGTCCATAGTTTTGGGGCAAATCGGTGCAAATAATGGAAAATTAAATTTTCGCCAAAATTACTTAAAAAGTTTTTAAAGGTGACTAAGTGCGGTTTGTGGTTAAATATGGTGGTTTTCGAACGGCAATACTGCCTGAAAGGCTGAGACAACTAAATTTCAGTAGAAAATCCTGTGCACGTGCTAACAAATTTGCAGTACAGTGGTGTGCAGACGCGTGAGGGTGTGTGTATGTTGGCTGTGTATTAAGTTCTCGGCACATACAATTCTACATTTCTGCGTGCCAGCGCGTTATCGTTGTGCGGTGCGGCTTTTAAGTGTTCTTACTTTACTTTTTGCGTTTCTTCTTTTACCTATCGTACCGCCACAAATGGCAAACGTGTGCGGTATTCGCAAGTTTCGTGCGTGTTATGGTGTTAGCGTTTGTTTTTGTAGCGCTATCTGTTAGCATTAAAACGTCAAGTCCTGTGGCAGCTTAAAAGCAGGCAGTGTTGCTTAAAAAATAAGAAAATAAAAGCATAAACCCTAAAAGTATGCTATAAAAATATGCAAACTGTAATTGCGAAAAACAAAAAGTGTGTTTTTATAACAGTATAATAAACAAAACAACAACAATTACAGCTTGACACCTTTTTGCGCACACATAAATCAAATAGTGCATCCGCTTGCGTGTCACGCGACGCTTACTAAAACAACCGTTTTCACAATTCCACACAGTGCAGCGTGAAAAAAGTGCAGTTGTAAAATTCGTATTCGCATTCACAATCGCATATTCGTGCTGTCGTTCCGGTTGTTGCAACACAAACAAAGCAAGTTCGCATTTATTATTCATAAAGTCAAATACTTGTGTGTAAAACAACAGTAACAATAAGCACGCGGTGTAACGGCGTGCAAAGTAGCAGCAGCAATATGAATGTCTAAAAAAATAAACAAACCAAATAAAAACAAATAAAAAACGCACTTGAGTGCGAGTTTTGAGTGTCACGCCTGCGAGCACATTTCGTTGCATACTTTTCAGAGTCCGGTCGGCTTTGTTGCCATATAGGTACGTACACACACATATTAGTGTAGTATTATGTAGGGAAACACAGCGCGTTGTTAACCTAAATATTCACGGCGAGCAAAAGGCGCAAAAAGTCGCAAACATGAAAAGGAAATAATACCAGAAAGTCAAAAAGCTGTGCCACATAAAGTGTCATTGCCATTTGTGTTGTTGTTAGGCGCATAAGAAAGTTGTGTAATAATAATTAATATAAATGCAAATGCTATAAATCACAGTGTGCTAAAAAACCGCTAAAAGCTGGCAAAAATTTCATTTATAAATGGGCGCTGTTTGAATTTGAAAGTCTTCGCTTGTGTCATATAACACATAGCATACAATACTTGTATAATGAAAAATACATAAATTGAAATCTGTGTCAACGGAAGTGTACGCAGATAAATTTTAATTTTTACTGCATAATGAATAAGCGCATTAAATTTTATGAACTAACAAAGAAATTGCTTATCATTGGCACACAAGCTACATAAAAGGCTTCAAATTGTAGGAACAAGTAAGTGCAAATTTTAATTTAAATAGCATATTATATATATATATTTATATATATATATAAATAAGTATATGTTAAATGTTTTTTTGAGATTTATATAAAATTTTTTTTTTTTTAATAACACCTATGTTCGCCATATTACTTGCAAAGCTACTTTGATCAAGTTAGTATTCATAACTAAAATAATAAAATCCAGTGATTTTCAGGGCAAAACTCTCATATACATATGTATATGTAGATAAGTAATTAATTATTTACTTATAATTTTTTTACGCAAAAGAGGATATATTAAGTTTGCTACGAAGTTTGTAACGCAAAGCAGGAAACGTCAGAGCCCCTACAAAATATATAAAAATGTATAAATGACCAGCATGACGAGCCAAGGCGATTTAGCCATGGCCATCCGTCTGGTCGTCCTCCAGTCCATCTATCTGTCCGTCTGTCCTTCCGTTGGCATATATGCGAATTAGTGCCTAAGTTTTTGAGATATTCATCTGAAATTCAGCAAACATCGTTTTCTATAAGACGCTGCTCATTTGTTGGAACCGCAGATAACGGACCACTATAGCATATAGCTGCCATACAAACTTAACAATCAAAATCGTGTCTTTGTATGGAAAGCATTTCTAGTTGAGGAGATATCTTCACGAAATTTAGCACGAATTATTAATTTAAGCAACGCTACTATATCTGAAAAAAGATGTTTCTAGATCGGAATCCTATGTGATGTAGCTCGCTATCAAGCTGAATGTTCAAAATAAAGTTATGGAAACTTTTTTATTTGCGGAGGGTATTCAAGCTTCAGTGCAACCGAAGGTAACGTTTTCACTTTTTTTTCGAAAATATATTATCATTTATAACGTTGCTTTGAATTTTTAATCGGTTTTTAGAATAACACAACGTTGTTCAGCATTATTTTAGTATTTCTCTTTGCTCCTAAAACCAAACTAAAAAAAAACTTTTTATTTCATTTTGAAAATGACAGCCCAATTTGATGCAATATTTTTGATCAGATATGGAGTTTTTAAAATAAAAAGTTAAGCAATATAAAGCTAAACCAAGCTCCTTCACATTGTATAATATATATAACAAAATACATATTTATCTCAAGTTATGAGGTTATTTTATATGTAATGACATTATTTATATTTTAACATAGCATGTATAAAAAGTTGTTGTAAAAATTTCTTCAAAAAATCTATTTAAATATTCTCTGCAGATCATTTATTATTCGAATGGAATATATAAATTAACGATGAGGTTATAGCTAATATAATATTATATAATATAATATTTATATATTTAAATATATTTTTATAAAATTAACACTCAAAAGTCCCAGCTTTTCATCTTGTGAAAAATATGTGAAGCAAAAATCTGTGGTATAATTATTCATCAAAGCTGGCATTTTTATGAACTTTTATTTTTGCTGCTTTAGTCTTTTAGGGTCTGAGTTTCCGTTTAGCATCCATCAATTTTTTTCTGGTGACTCACAGTTCTATAGTGCAATTTTTTTTTAATATGATCAAATACACTCACTAAATGTGTACCAATACTATTAGAAGACTTATCAGGTTATTTTTGCGCTACTCCTTCTATTTATTCTGAGTTTTAATGTTACCTCTCCGATGGCAGTCAATAAGCCACACCTCATAGTAAAGCTAACGGGTCTACTTTTTTTAATTAGAACACAACGGCAACTAAATCGGAAATGACTACATTTTGAGCATGAGAGCTAAAGGAAAGTCTGGGCCGATATTATTATTATAAATTAATTGTACTGAGCCTAAATATTTAGTGAATTTATATAGTATAATGTAAACAATGATAATATTAATCAGACAGATTGCTGCCCTTTTTATTTTGGTATCCATAGACAATATACTATAACATTTTCAAATAATTTAGAAAATTAAAATTATACTGACCTGTTTATGTATGATGCCATATAATTGGTGTAAAGAACACAGTAGAACCTGCGAACTGATTTCATTCAACACAGCAAACAACACACAAGTGAACACAAGTCTTAACTTTAAGCGCTAACTTAAAAGCTGTAAAGTTGAACGAAGCAACGTATGTCAAATCTTTCGTAGACTATGAGGAATATATAAATGGTTTGATCAATTTAATTAAAATGTGTGAAGAAGTTTTAAGGCGACTACTGGAATTCCAATTAGCTCGGTAGTTTGTGAGATACAAAATGTTACCCTTAAGTGAGCTCGGCTACTTACACTATCTAAGTTTTATAGTTATGCAAAATTGTGATGGTTTTTAGTTTGATTGACAAACTTTATACACGTTTCTTCGAATACATGTATTGAGACAGCTCGGTGTTAGGTATGATCTCTGTGCTCCTTGATGTCAAATGATTACTTTATATTTACTGAAATTATTTATTACATGTACACATATGTATATTTACATGTCTTAATATCTCCCCAATAGTGTTAGGTCTTATACATAAGCAACCATTAAATGCACGGAACTACTACATTCTGAGCAGCACATTACAATCGCCTAATATTGATTTGACTTTTTTATACCCTGAATACTAGTCTCTCAGTTTTTGAGATATCGATCTGAAATTTTGCACACGGCCTTTTCTTCTTTAGAAACGGCGTATTGGTCGGTTCAGACATTTTTTATTTGAAGAGATACCTTCATGATTTGGCATGAGTTATTGTCTAAGACCACGTTGCAATCTCCGAAGAAATTGCTTTGATCAAATCACAAAAGCATATAGTATTGTATAGCCATACAAACCGACCGATTAAAATCAAATTATTGTAAGGAATCTTTTGTATCTATGAATAGTATTATAGCTTCGATGCAACCGAAGATAACGTTTTTTCTTGTTTTTCACTTCTTTTATATTTAATCGCAATATTATGATACAAATGCCGAGTTTTCCATTCTGCCTATATTCTATATACATATGATATTAACTATAAGACTGTTACACTTCTATCCGCATATTATTAAAATTAAATATTGATATTTCAAAATGCTCTTTATATGAATTATCTGTAATGGGCCATTTTGACTTTAGTTTAATGGTACTTACCTATAACAAGATCTTAAATTTCAATCACCTACACATGCAAACTTGCCCAAGATTTATTGAATTAAAAAGTAATTACAGTTATAACATCTAGCTCGACCGTGCTTATTTTTGTGAGCATTTTTGTTCCTATCTATAAACGAATCATAGATAGCAATAAAAGTAGTAAGATTGTGTAATTTTAAGTAAGGACAATTAGATGAGACTTATTCCTTTGCCAACTTTAGAGGTATGCAGCTATTACAAGTATTTTTATATAAGGCGGTATGACTCGAAATATATATGGTAGTTAATTATGTAGGATTATGTGCATACTGGGTTTATAGGGATAAGCGCATATTGTGACACCCTAGGAATATTTTTCGTGCTTGCAAAGTGATAGGTATAGTAAAAGCTCAATTAAACTTCTAGCTCTAGGAACACAAATATCAATAATTATATGATTTTAATGATATTCAGTCTATATATAACATATATATATATATATCTAGAAGAGAATACTGAATACATTTAAAATAAAGTGTGATAAAAATGTTTGTAAAAAAAAAGACTTAAGCTCATTTCAACGAGACCGCCTATAGCAAAATCTCAGTACACTGTTCCTTTACGCGATATAAAATAACAGTAAAAGTGAAACAGGACGCAATAACACCGAAGAGTAGAACTCCATTAGCATTGAATGAGTGGCTGCAGAGCCGCCGACAGGAGCGAAAGTCAAGTTATGCAAAGGCCAGACAATGCCACGCTCCTTTATATATTTCACACTTCGCAAAGTCACGAACCATTGACGCAAAACACACCGACAACCACACACACATACACATACATGTTTAGAGACGTTCGCACTTGATAGTAGAAATGTAGATTGAAGTGTTTGTCAAATAAAAGTCAGCCCGACGATGGTGGCGGCGTCACAACAGCTCCAAAGTGCCACTGACAAACGGACAATGCTGAAAACAGAGAGAAAGGCAAAGACAAAGTCAAGCGGGGATGTGCTCATATTACACACCGTGTAGATGATGAAAAGGCAGCCACTTTTTGTGTCACACAAGAACAATGCGAATTTTATTATCGCCCGAGTCAGTGTTAACACTGTTGCCATTGTCAGCTAAGCGCTGCCACAAACGCCGCCGAGACTGCTGTTGACCTTTAATGTTGGGCGACAAATGCTGCTGGTGTTTGTGTTGTTGCTGTTATGCTACTATAGGCGCCTCCTGCCACTTTGCGACACGTCTCCTCATGCGCAACGGCGCCAACTTGAAGTCGAAGCTACAAAGGAATTACTGGCGTTTATGTGTGTATGTGCGTGCGACTTGGTGTCCATATTGCCCGCAGAGATTGAAGAAGTTGAGCAGAGGAAGTACAGTCAAAAGTCAGGCATCAAAGTCGCGCGTCTGACATGCGGCTGATGACGTGCTTGACACTGTTGGCGCTGTTGTTGCCGAGTCATTAGTATGCCATAAAACACACACATTCCAGCAAAACGCACATATACACACCGAGGCACTCGCACAATACCGTTTTGCCTGCTCAACTGCTTTTAAAGCGGGAATAGTGTCAGCGATGCGTGGTGTTATTATTCGGTTCATTGTTTGGCAACGCCGTTCATGTATGCCATGGCGTATGAGTACTCCTCCACCACAAACTACTTGTTTTGGCAATTTACATACTCGTACGCCAAGTGCAAACTAGCGCTTGTTTAGTAAACAAACTATTTTACAGACAATAGTGCGTTGTGGTGGAAACAACAGAAACGGCACAACACACACACACATATGCAAGTATATATGTATTTATGCTGATATGTTGCTGGTGGCCATATGTGTTGCTACTTGCTACTTTCGCTGATGCCGTCACTGTGTTTGTAGTCTTGCGTTTTTGTTCAGACACTTTTATGAAGTTGCAGCATGCAAAGTTGCATCCAACAAGCGCATAAATA